TATTGAAAATTAAAATTAAAAATTAAACAATTAAAACTAAAACATTAAAATTATAATTCGATATTTCGACCTATTAATACGGTCATTTTCAAGTTTCTCCTCGTACAGGATGTTTGTTTAATTTTTAATTTTAATTTTTTATTATTTGATTAAAACTTTTTATTAAAATTCTGAATATGATAGCCACATTGGTTTTAAAATTTTCATTTTCATTGTTTTTTCGCTGATTTCGAAAAAATTGAGTTTCTCGGCAACAATTTCTTGGCAACAAAGGAAAATTTTCCAAATATGATGCTTATCTTATTTACCAGAAGTATGACGATTAGAATGAAGGAAAAGAAAGAATTTTATGTCCAAAATCGTAGAACTAGATATGTTCGCAGAGTTTACCGAAAGCCCCTCCACCACTCTACCCGTATTTCGCACATTCTGAGTCCATTTTAGCTTCGAAAAGTTCCAAAATTAGCTTTTCAAACTCAGTTTTTAATGGACAATAAGAAATAAATGATTTTGGAATTACGAAAGGCGACCAGACACGAAAATTTCACTGTTTTCTGCTACAGTTCACAAGATCAGTATTTTTCAATTTTTTCAGCCAAACATGACTTGAATTGACTTTTCCCTAGGCAAATCGATGAACTCTATTCAACCATGCCGAAAAGCAGGTAAACAAAAATCAATCTGCTTGAACTGCCGGCAACCTTACCTAAGAAAATTACATAATTCTTTTAAACATAAGTTAACGGTACTTTTCAAAAATAATGTTATGAGCAGCCATATCTCTGTTTTTTTAAAACTTATATTATTCTTTATCTATCATGCATGTATGTGCTTTAAAATACTGTTTGATAATGCAGTGTATATTTTTTTAACCTAACTTGTTGAGTATAAAACTAATAAAACATTTAAGTTTACTGCTCATCCTAGGGGGGATGTTTTCGTTAAATACTTACCCAGGTCGAGGTTTCTCACGTACGATCTTGTAAGATCTGATGTAGGATGTTATCTTATCCTGTCTGATCTCATACCATTACATAACACACAGACAGGATCTTGTACAAAATTATATGCAATCTTATAATCAGATCTCTTATGTGATCTCACGTGCGATTTGAATAAATTCAGACATTAATTCTGACTGTGAGGAATTTCGTCTGATTTTGTAAGGTCTTCCAAGATCTTGACCAGATAGTTCGAGCTGGGTGCATCAATTTAGCTTTGTGAAATCATTGTAATACTATGTTTATCTCTTAGTTAGGTTATAATATTTAAGTATTGGTGCAAAAATGATAACTACTGGTGCTAATAGCGTTCGTATTCCAATGATACAAAGTATGATTGACTTTTTTCAATACTTGCGTTACTAATTACATTTTTTCTCTTTTGAAGCTAGTTGTATGACCTCTGAGTTTGACAATACATACCCGATACATCTGAATGGCATCATCAGTCCAGAAGATTTTCAACATTCAATATCAAATATAAATCGTTCATTTTCTTCATCAAAATTTTCAAAAATGTTGTGTATATTTATAGTTCTGTGGATGATTGCTGGACTAATTATGATCATTACCGGCGGCATTACTGCTGTATCCTCGTTTCGAACGGGTATTTCCCCTCTGGTGATTGTAGGTGTTGCCATGTGGGCTGGCGGGATACTAATTATCGGTTTTGGATGTATGGCGATCCAATCAAGGCGTATGCAACGACTTCGCGAAGCTGTTGCTAATGAATCGGTGAAATATTCATCAGCGTCTAGACCAGCCAGTTGGAGAATAGATACTTTCCAATGGTATGGATGGCAACGAAGAAATGTCACATATAATGTATGTAAAACTTTCGAAAATTCTCGTTCATTTTTCTTTCTTGTCACATTTTAGTTGGTTATTGATCTCGAGCCAAATTTTGCTATGGCACAAAATGTTTATCCAACACCCAGCTATTCTACTGCACCACCTGCATACCAACAAAATAAGAGACCGGAATCTTCTCCACACGACAATAATCAAGTACAGCCTGTCACATACTGTTCTAAGTGTGGTGCAGCTCGACAAGATTATGCAGGCAACTTTTGCTCATCATGTGGACAAAGTTATCATAAATACTAAATATCATTATCTCAGAACGTTTCATTAAATTCTTGTGTAACTGCAACTTCCATATTGAAATTGTTTTTCTAAACTTTTTACCTATTCCCGCCGAAGGCTGACTAATAAAAGTCGTTTTGTTGAATCAGCACTCAAACTTACTAATAAACCAACCACCTGACTAATCTCACCATTCCAGAATCAAATCGGAGCTTATTCCCGACAATAACATTGAATCCAGGATAGAGAAAAACCTATACACACTTACATGTGTTCCCTCGTGAGTGGAAAACTTGTGTTTCGGAAATTATCTGCAATTTTGGATTTTGAGGGAAAATCCTGAGTTTTCAATTTTTGAGAAAATCGAATAAATACAGACCAGTCCACGCATCCCGAAATACACATTTGTGAACTCAGTTTTTTAACCTTGATTTCTAAAATAACGTTTTTTGTGTCGAAAAGTTGAACTTTGATAGAGGAATGTCGAAAAATAAATGAAAACGATTTATAGAAAGAAAGAAATTTCCCATGTTTTACACAAACACATCACTAGACAACAAGAAAAGGAGAAAAATAGTTTGGGAAGAATTTGTGTAACGGGGAATTTGGACAACAGTAAATTAACCAGTGCTGAAAGTGCACTAATTAAGGAAACTATTGCAGAAGGTCCACTATTACAAACATGACTAATTAGTGAGTACTACCACTCCAATCAAACTTTCGGCTATTGCCGAAGTCATGCCTTGGATTAAAAATTACTGTTATGAACTTTCGACAACCTGCAGAAGTTCCGACTCGAAAAAAAAGCGAAAGTCCGGTGAAAACACAACTTTCGGAAATTGTTGAAGTTTGCTGAGACGGCGAAATTCATGGTATCCTTTGATCTGCCCCAGTTCTGGTCGAAATATCAACGAATTAAATTCGGCATAGTGGAAACGATTCTTATTTATCATCAATTCTGGATGACCATTGTGACAATGTAAGGATAAATCAGAATACAATGAGTATCTCGCATTACAATCGTGACAAACGAACATTTCATTAAAAATCTTCCAAATCAAATAATATGCAGATGCGGCAGCCATAACACTCATCCATTTACGCGGTATACCACCGCTATTTGTACAAGTCAAACCATAGATGTAACCGGTAAGGATTTTCTCGACAGGGCCGGTAACCGGTTTAAGAATTTCTGACCGGGTCATACATTTTCTTTTGGTTCCCGTCCATAGCTCTCGAACCATGGATTTCCAAGACGTCATTTAGATCCAGTTTTGTCGAGAACACTTTAGGCTATAAAAAGATCTATGAAAAAGATCCATAGATTTCTATGTCAGTTTTGAGAGAACCGAACTGGATTTTTACAGATCTCTTGAAAAATCGGTCTTTGCAATTTTTTCCAATTTGTTTTTGCTTATGAAAACATAGCTTCAGGTCTGGGCTAGCGAATTATGAAAACCGCAAGTATCTATCTTTTATTCCTTTTGAGTTATTAAAAAAATAACCCCGGACTTGTATTTTGGCGCCGATAGTAGTGCAGCAAACATTAAAAAAGAAAGAAAAACGAAAGAAATATTCACATAGTAGAGATTACCAGTCCTGCTCTCGAAGACTGTTGGAAAAAAAGAGAAAACCAACGTAATTTTTTTAATCTGTAATATGAAAACGTTTATTTTACTTAGCTCAGCAAATTGGTTTTCGACAAAGTAAATGGCATTATTTCTTCGCCAAAAAAGCCAGATAGGTTTACAAGAGGGTGACCAAGTTCAATGGTCTGATTCCCGAAGCTAGGCTCAATCAAACTTTGAGTTTGAATTCAATTAAATATCGTTTTTATATTCAGTTTTTAACGCTGGATAAGAACTGAAAAAGAGCTCTGAATCGAAGAACTTTGAATTTTTAGAAAATGAACGACTTTTCGAAAGAATCGATTGTAAAAAAAAAAGTATTTCAAATTTTTCGGCCGTAAAATTGTTTTACAGAAATTAAAAATCATTTTTCCTTAGTCATCGCGCTCTGTCCAACCATGTATGAATTAATCAGAGAAAAATTTTACTTGTGGTTCAAATTGCCGGCACCTTACTGATTTTTCAGATGAACAAAAGTTTTTTCTCGACCGACCGACTGATAGAAAATTTCTGATCGGACCGGGCCGGTTGCCGGTACCGGTTACACCTCTGAGTCAAACATCGTTCTTTCAAATCACGTAAAATTGTTGTTACATTTCCGATAGAGGATGGATTTACGATGTACGGTTCTCCTACAACAAGCAAGCCAAGATCGTCATACATCAAAATTATACAATGATTTTGTAACTCTCTTTGAAGAATGCGTCCATATCTACGGGCTGTTTATTGACTATAGAAAGTTTCTCGTTTTTTCTTCTTGAGCTCAAGAACATTATTCAGGTAAACTTGTTTGATTGAGCTTACCTATGGTAACGAGACATTTTTCACTAGGATTACACTGTGGGATATTTTGAAACGTATTTCTTTGACTAATAGTTGTGTAAACTGGACCCGAATTTGGTGGTGGTCTGCTGGTTGCGGCTTTATCAATCAAAGTTGTTTTGCATTGTTGACCTTTCCGTTTTTAATATGATATTCAATATGACAAGTTGAGCATATTCTCTTTTTAATAACTGAATCCTTATAATCGGTTTTAGACTGTATGTAATCTTGTTGACGATTGTTCTCTAGTGTTTTACCACAATGTCTATCATATGATCAACAAACGATTTTAAACATTTTTGTATTAACGAACATTGATCAAGTAATGTTTGCATTACGGGTTTTCCACTTTTCTCAACATCAGATATTTCGAAATGTACTCCTACCAGATATTTAGATATTTACAGTTTGTGCCGGTGCACATTTTATAGCCTGGCTGCTATACGTTGCAAAAAGAATGCCCCTGACTATTTTTCGAATAATTTTTGATAGAAAGTGGGTAAAGACATGTGGTTTTCGCTGTTCGAGAGCGAACACCACACAAGACATCTTGAGAAATAAAAATCGGACCAGGTCTACCACCTGCAGGTGGTAAGCCATTTATGTCTTTGAAAGACAAGGTTGGAAAAGAACGAAAAAAGGTTTTTTTCTCGTTCTTTTATAGATTCGAACCAGCAAACCTTCCTTTACAAAACCCCAGAGCGGTCATTTTTTTCTGTTCTCCCATTCCCGATAGGAAGCGATTCTCCGAGGACGACCTTAACTCACGCTTTTTTCACTCATAATATCGAACGAACACTTGCCAAATAGATTTTCGCGTGATATAAAGATAGTATAAGCGTAGAAACAATTTATTTTCTACAGGTACTTCGTTGTTAAGTTTTGCTATGTTACGAATAAATTCTCGGTTCGGACTGTAATCAGTGCTGTCTCACGATCAACAATCCTTTCAAAGTAAAAACAAACAAAATTTATAACCCACACAAAAAGATCATAAAAATATAAAAGGCTCAAAAAGAATTAGCATAGTCGAAAACCTATTTGGGACGTGTTCGTTCGATATTATGAGTGAAAAAAGCTTCACGGCCGGTCGATAATTGCCGTCGTATGTTGGATTAACTAGATGTGGCATTATCTGAGTTGCTGAAGTCTGTGTGTTGAAGTATTGCGACGTTTCTGACACATTGCGATGAGTCTTGACAAGGTATTGCGCGCAGTCTGTAGCGGATTGATGTTTTTGTAGTGACAATTTATCAGGCCTAGTTTGATGAATTAGCACTTTGTCTTGGAGTTTTGAGGCCGCGATTGACAAGAAACACCTCATTATTATCGGTAATATAACCGTTCGTCGTCGGCTACAATATATAAGATAGATCAATCCAACATAGCCGAAACCAGCTTCCGCTTACCTTTTGTAAAGCATCAGCAATGTAAACAACTGATGTGATAAGAAAAACAAGATCGATACACTGAACCTTGGTTTGCTATAAAATAGTTCAAATTGATTAGTTAGAAAATTATTGACTCTAAATGTGATTTCTCCACCAACGCCTTGCAATAATACTAAAAATGTTGGTACTACTGCAGTCAAACCTTCACCAAAAAACATTGCAGTTAAATGGGACGGATGAAACCGTTTCATGTTGCGCGCCCGCGGGCGCCCGCGGGGGGGGCGGGGGGGGGGGGGGGGGGGCGGGGGGGGGGGGGGGGGGCGGGGGGGGGGGGGGGG